CAGCCCCTCGGCCCCCAGCCAATAGAACTCCATCCCCAGCCCCCCTCTCCCCAGCACAGAACCAAAACCCTCAGTCGATATCTGCCCTTGGGGCTGGAGGGGGGGGGGGGCCGATTGCATGGTTCGCCTAGGGCGCCAGTTGCTGGCAGCAAATCTAGGGCCGCCCCTGGGGACATCACTCGAAGAAGAACAACTGTTTAATTTCTGACAGGATCTGATGAGAAGGAGCTCACTCCGTATGCGACTGAGGACAGTTAGGAGGAACTGGTAGGAACCGGACCGCGTGCTCTAAGAAATGGCGCGAATGGCACAAGGCGTTTAACGCGCATGCATGGTCTGACAGACCATTGCTGACGAATCTCCGAACTGTGGTGCCGGGACAAACCCAACAACTACAGTGGAGCACCCATAGGGATACCACTCGAAGAAGAACATAGAAGTATGGAATTCTGGCAGCTGAGGGTATGGGGTACTCACAGAGGTCAGTGCTGTCAGAAGCATGTGGAGTAGCTCCACATGGCCAAAGCCAAGTTAATGTAAGCATGCTATAAAGGGGAAATATGACAGAAGAGCTTGGGGAATCTGAATTAGCCTCCACAAGCTAGCGCCTACTCCCCTGTTCCAAATGGGAGAAAACTGGATAAAGCTGGGGATTGAGACTGAAGTTAGAGGTGCAAAGCATGAGGGGGGTGGGGAGACAGTTCAGAAATTAGTCAGATAAACCCATTCACCATTCCTGCCCAGGCTCTGATCCAATCTCTCCCTTTGGCTGAGTTTACAGATAGCCATGCTACCTAGATCTGATTGAGCTTGAGATCTGCAGAGAAATAGAGCAAGGCAGAGAGGCTGCCTATGGTGGTAGTCAATGGAGCTTGAGTTGGGAATGCTAGTGCCCAGTATAAGAGGCTCAGTGGTGTCTGCACAGAACAACGGAGCTTGAGTTGGGAATGCTAGTGCCCAGGCTCAGTGGTGTCTGCACAGAACAAGGAAGGCCAGGTCTGAAGGTTCCTCAGCAATGCTGAAAAAAAGATGGCTTTGATGGCTCATTTGAGAGGAGTCCTGCTGTGAACAAGAAGTGGTGTGTTAAAGCTGTCAATCCTCCTCTAAAACTTATCAGGCCCTCAATTCTCACACATAAGAGAGGTCAGGGAGCAACTGGTACCTGCCTATATTGCAATTAAAAACCCACAGCTTCCCCAGGACAGCTAAACTAAGGATTGCGGAACTCAAGCTAAAAAGCAGTGTGACTTAAATTGAGTGTAGACTTCAGTGCTCAGGCTAGAGCCAGGACACTATGGCAGTGTGAGGTAGGAGAATCAAGAGCTTGGGATGCAGCATGAACCCAATCAGTTACACTGATGTGAAACAGCCCTGCAGTCTGAACCCCACAGGCCAGCTGTGGGGTTTTATTTGCAGCATAGACTACCATTATAGTATAGGCATACAGAGAGCTCACTGACTGGTATGTGAGCATCCAGGGATATGATAGACTACCTGGGGGAGTGCCGGCTGCAGCATTCTGCCAGGCTTACAGCTCCAGTGAACCACAATAGATTCAGACGCTAGAGAGGCTGTGAAGCAATAGCATTTTTCTGTCTTCTTTTCCAACACTGAGCAGCTCCTAACTGCCTCCTAGCCTCTTTAGCTCCAGGCAACCTACACTGAGCCTCCCCCCTGCTGGGCTACAGCTGTCATTGGTTCCAACCCCTTATTTCTTATGAAGAAAGCCTATTGCAGATACACAGCCTCCTTTGGCTTTCCTGGCACAAAAGAAAAGTTACGATATTAGCCTTTTCTGCATTATGAAGCTGTGTGTGAATTTTGAAGCATTTACATTACAGAGGCTTGCTAAAACATGAGTATCTCTTGGAAAAATCATAAAGGATTGTTGCTAACGTGCTTAACATTTTTAAGCTAAAAGGATTGCAAGTGCAACATTTCTCCAAAAAAATCAGTCTCTTATCTGCCCTGTAATGAAAGGGATTTAAGATTTATGTTACCTTTTGGGATTTAACCCTTCTTTAGAGTGGAAAAGGAAACTACAAGCCAAAAGCGTACCTCCTTAATATACCCTTCACTTCACCTATACTAACCTCAAATCACCTTTGCAACAGCATACATTAATATTTAGCTTTAAACTATGAATCTAAAGCTGGCATATATATATATAAACATACCATTTCCAACAGGAGCTGTTCTTCTCTTTCTTTTTCTTGATCCAACAAATCATTTTCATAAAACCTTTTCTGAAACTTTTAAAATAAACAGTAATCAAAATAACCATATATCATACCTTACTTTTTAACTCTCACTTGCAAATATAAAAGTCAGAAGGTACTTACAGCATCCACAGAAATTTCCATTCTGTCCAACTCCAACACGGTCTAAAAAAATAAATTAAAATAATATTTTTACCCTAAACTAGCCAATAACTTCAAAAACATACTGTCTATGTCTAGACTGGCATGATTTTCTGGAAATGCTTTTAACGGAAAAGTTTTCCATTAAAAGCATTTTTGGAAAATAGCGTCTAGATTGGCACGGACGCTTTTCCGCAAAAGCACTTTTTGCGGAAAAGCGTCCGTGGCCAATCTAGATGTGCTTTTGCGCAAAAAAGCCCCGATTGCCATTTTCGCGATCGGGGCTTTTTTGCGCAAAACAAATCTCACCTGTCTACACTGGTCCTTTTGCGCAAAAGTTTTGCGCAAAAAGGATTTTTGCCTGAATGGGAGCAGTATAGTATTTCCGCAAAAAGCACTGATTTCTTACAGTAGGAAGTCAGTGCTTTTGTGGAAATTCAAGCGGCCAGTGTAGACAGCTGGCAAGTTTTTCCGGAAAAGTGGCTGATTTTCCAGAAAAACTGGCCAGTCTAGACACAGCCACTATGTTTTAGCATAAAAGGAAACTTGTCATGGTAGAAAAGCTTAAATTACTGTCAAACAATACCTTAACCGGGGTCCCATCTGTAAGGATTTTTTTAAAACTGAAGAAACATAATTGTATTCTGGAGAAGATAAGAATGGCCATACTGGGTCAGACCAGCTAGCCCAATATCCTGTCTTTTGACAGTGATCAATGTCAGGCACTTCAGAGGGAATGAACAGAACAAGGCAATTATTGAGTGATTCATGCCCTGTTGTTCAGTCCCAGCTTTTGGAAGTTAAAGTCTTAGGGAAATCCAGAGCATGGATTTATACTCCTGACCATCCTGGGTAACAGCCAAGTTGATAGACCCATCTATATGCTGAGATGTTAACCCTGCAATCAGAAATGCTCACAGAGATCTGTTTTCCCAATGAACCCCACTCTGATTCACAAAGGAAGGGATAAATTGTACCATATACATGATTAGCTGCACAATGTTAAAGTATCACCACAGGGAAAGCACTGTCAATACCTGCTGGAATGCCCCAATTGAACTCGAAGGGGGAGAGAGAGAATAATCTGTGATGACCCCAGCCTTTTATGGGATGCAGGATACTCATTCTGCTGGCTGACGCATAGGAGGAGGCAAATCTATATTTTATCTATATGCCACCCATTTCCTCTTAGGGGGAAAACAGCTGGCACTAGGGATGTAAAGTTTAACTGGTTAACCAGTTACCCGATAAGCATTCACCTTACCAGCATGCTTACCAGGGTAACCAGTTAACTGGCACCTGGCCTGGCCAGAAAGGTCCCCAGTCTGTACCACGGTGCGGCAGGCCCTGTCCAACCTGGCCAGAGCAGTCTCCCACCCTGGCGTGGTGCTGGAGGCTTGGCCCCAGCCTGGCTGAAGCAGCCCGTGGTGCAGTGGGCCCGGATGAACAGGAACAGCCCAGTGTGGTGGGTCCTACCTGGCCCGAGCATCCCACTTGTGATGTGGTGTGGTGGACTCGACACAGCCTGCGGTGTTGCACCGTCTGATGGGCTTGGCCTTGCCTAGCCAAACAGCCCACAGCGCTGTGGGCCCAGCTGGGCTGGAGCAGCCCCCTGCCTACGGTGCAGTGCAACAAGCCTTGCCTGGCCTGAGCAGCTCCCCTCCTATGGTGCTATATGGTGGGGTCAGCCCACAGTGTGGCAGACACAAGTGGGTTGGACTCAGCATGGCTGGGGGAATGCTCCAGCCCGCCTGGGCCCACCATAAGGAAGTTAGCCAGTTAAACATATAGTTTAACCAGTTAACAATTTAAATGGGATTTTACATGCCTGGCTAGCACACATCCATAAAGACTGCAATCCAGATAATCCTGAACTGGCTTCACTGAGAGAAGAAGGAATTTTGTTTCCTACTTTTCCTGAGTGGCTGTGTTGGGGGGTCTAGCAGTAAACAAATGCACCTTGTCACTGAAGTGCACAAATACAAATATATTCATTAAACTGTTTCTAAGCTGCTCATTGTAAAAATAGAAACAACAGAAAAACATTTATACCTCAAGGATTCTCGATCTTTTTTACCAAGGTAAACCCTTCTTCTCACTCCTATATTCATACTCCTATCCTTGGAGTGGGCAATTACTAAATAAGGGAGAAAGCCTGACTTACAGTGTCAAGCAGTTAACTGTATTTTAAGAAACCAAGAAAATATCTTTTTGTCTTAAATTCAGTGGAAAACAGTATCTTTTAATTTGACATCTCTAATTTTAATTGTTCAAACTGACAAAAAAGAATAACAGTGTCTTTAATCTCCTATCCCAAACTCAAGAGCAAAGACTAAAATGTGGACATCAAATCAACTATCTTAATTTGCAGTGACAGCTGCGACATAAAATGTTTCTTGATCAGAAAAAATACTTACTCGTTTTACAATAGTCAAGACATCTTTATCTTTCTCCTGACACAGAAGTTTTCTTATACACAGCTCTAACTGCTGAAGTAAATGTTTGTCTGTAGGGACCTTCAAAGTAGATTTCACTTTTGGCAACAAATAGCAAAGCTTCATTCTGTAAGAAAAGGAATTCACGTTTAACTTCTCATGCAGATAGTGAGCAACAATTTGGTTCCATTGTTTAATAAAAGCCATAGCCAATTTGACTTCACTTCATATCTGCTTTTATTTTCCGGCCTACCTCTCAACTTGATTTTTATGAAGTACTTTGAAGATGTAAAGGCCTACATGAGAGTGAAAAGCAAAGCTGAAGAGTGTGAAAAGTAACAAAAGTGACTAAGGGACAGAATTTTAAAAGTATTTATACACCTAAAGTTCTAGATAAGCGCTTGGTGGGATTCTTAAAAGCATTCAAGTGCGGATGTTTCTGAGGTGA